TGAGACCTAGAGGATTGTTGTTTAAAGCCAGCCCAAGCAGAAAAAGTTCTCCAGACTCTATCTCCAATTAATCAGCAAAATGCCAGACTAAAGGCATGGCTCAAGTGATACAGAATGCCACCAATGGCCAAGCAAGTTCAGCGAGTATGAGTAACCAACAAAAATACAAATAAAATAAAATGGCTGAATAAGTTACATTTGATTGCTGTGGTTTGGAATATTGTCTCTCAAAAGCCTATGTTAGAGCATTTGGTCCCTAGCCTGTGGAGGTATTCAGAAGTGGTGGATCCTTCAGGAGGTTAGCAGGAGACAGGCCCTTGAAGGGGTGGTGGAACCTCAGCCCAATCCTCTTCTGCTCTTTCATTTCCCAGCCACCACAAAGTGAGCAGCTTTGGTCCACTATGTATTCATCAGGAAGTAATGTACTGCACAGCCCCAACTATCATGGGGCCAACCATTCGCAGACTGACTGAGGCTCAAACACGGAGAACATGGATGGGATCAGGATAGCTGGGTGCAGGGAGAAGATGAAGGGCACATAAACTGATATATGAAATCTCCTTTTGAGAATCAGTTGACATCAGCCAGAACAGGGAAGTCTGTGAGATTCTTATCTCTAATTAACCATCAAAAAACTGGAAGTGGAGCTGTGGCTCAAAGTGGTAGAGCACTAACTAGCCTTAAGGGGAAAAAAAAAAAAAAAGAGCTCAGGGATGGTACCTAAGCCACACAGCCAATAAAATAAAACTATTTAAAGATATTTTAAGTTCATAAAAATAGAAAAATAAGCAAAAACTGAGTCAAAACAAAATCTTTTTTTTTTTGCAATGCTGGAGACTGAACCTCAAACCTTGTACATGCTAGAGAAGTGCTCTACCACTGAGAACAGTATCTATTTAGTATCTATTTTTTGTGGGTGTTTTTTTGTCTTGAGGTTTTTGTTTGTTTTTCTTTTGAAGTATGAATTTAAGGTCTCATACTTGCTGGGCAAGAGCTGTCCATTTGGGTTTATACCTTCAATCACCAGTAAACTTTTTTTAAATCAGTTGATTACCTCGGGTACTTTTGGTATGTATGTCAAAGGACAGAGGTATCTCCAGGATTCTCTTTAACATATATGCCAGCCACGTTTCTATCTAGCTTTCATACTATAGCCCTGTCTAAGGTTTCAGAGATCACTTTGCTGTCATTTCAGTACATACTCCTTGGTAAAACCAAAATCAATCTTCAAAAAAAAAAAAAAAAGAATTATCCAGGTGTGTGGTGCACACAGAAGGCTGAGGCAACAGAAGTAAAAGTCAAGTCCAGCCTGGGCCTCACAGCAAGACTGTCACAAAGCAACAATTTAAAAAAAAAAATCTGTCTTTTCTAAGTATGCCTAAGTCATCTGTTTAGATGCAGAATACGAATCACTTGTGTCCTACAAATCATATTCTAGTAGCTTGAAGAATTTTAAATCACAGGCATATCAGATATGTATCAGGGCTTCCCTTGGCCATGTGACTGTAAGATTTGAACTCTTTAGGTAAAACTAATAAGTAGCAATAAGAAGTGAATTTATGGGCTGGAGGCATGGTTCAAATGGTAGCTCAAGGCCCTAAATTCAATACCCCCCAAAAGTTAAAAACTAAAAATTAACATGATTTTATAATCTCCTCTACTTCACTAGTGAGCAGAGGAGTGGAGAGGGCTTTTTGTCTAAGCTCTACCTGAAAAGCGGTAGTGGTCAGTTCCTCAAAAAGCTTCTTTGGTTCACAGGAGCTACAGTTCAGAGATGACCACACAGAACTTCAGCAGCTCCCAAATGGACTTCCAGCAAGTGGGAAACCAATCAAGGCCCAGAGACACCAAGATCTGCCCTCAGCCTGGTTCTCACACAAAGGCACTTATCTGTTAGGTGCCCATGAGATATAATGTGCCTGACCATATAACTTTCCATTTAAAAACAAAAAAAAGTGACCTTTAAAAAAATTTATTTATTTATTTTTGGGTCCAGTAGTGGGGCCTGATCTCTGGGCCTGGGCGCTGTCCCTCAGCTCTTCAGCTCAAGGCTAGCACTCTACCACTTGAGTCACAGTGCCACTTCCGGCTTTTTTCTTTTTGCTTATGCAGTGCTGAGGAATCGAACCCAGGGCCTTGAGCATGCAAGGCAAGTGCTCTACCACTGAGCCACCTTCCCAGCCCCTAAAAAAAAATTTAAACTTACAATTTTGTCACCTTAAATCTCTGTAAGCTGAACAGTAGGTGGGGGCTGCAGCTCAGTGGCAGAGCATGTGTTTGGTTCAATCCTCAGGTGGGACAGAGGAGGAAGGGAGGAAGTGAGATGGGGAAGGGAAAGGGAATAATGAGACAAAATCGACCCATGGCGACCTTTGGCAGGAGCCCTTCCTCCTAAGCTGTTCAAATGTACAGCTTTCTTTGCTTTTTTCTTTTTTTTCGGTCGTGAGGCCTGAACGCTGGGCCTGGGCGCTGTCCCTCAGCTCTTCAGCTCAAGGCTAGCGCTCTACCACTTAAGCCACAGCACCACTTCCAGCTTTTTCTGCTTATGTGGTGCTGAGGAATCAAACCAGGGCCTATGCAAGCAAGGCAAGCACTCTACCACTGAGCCACCTTCCCAGACCCTTGTTTTACCTTCCTAGCCCTACAGCTTGCTTTTCAAAAAGATATGTACAGTTTCTTTTTAGAAACTCCTCAGGCCAACAGAATAGGGATGTCAGTGGGTTCTTCAATCTAGACTTCACTTTTTCAGATTTCTAGATCTCTAAATCTCAATAGCAATTGGTCAATCTTTTACAGTTTGTCCCAGCAGTGCTCACATTTCTTTGAAAGATAATGCAGTGGAGGTAAAGAGTAAAGTAAGCAAAGACATCAGGGTATTGGGGTGCAGGAGTCCTGAAGATTATGATAGGAGTCAGGGAATGGTGGCTCAGCCCAGGCTGAGCCTCTTAACTATCTTCCACTTGCCCCTTTCCCTTGCTCACCATGCCCCAGCCCACTGACTTGATGTTCTGCAAACATATCAAGCTCATATTGTACCAGGCAGGCCCTTTAACTTGTTTCTCCTTCTTTTTTTTTTTTTTTGGTCGATCGTGGGGCCTGAACTCTGGGCCTGGGCGCTGTCCCTCAGCTCTTCAGCTCAAGGCTAGTGCTCTACCACTTGAACCAAGCACTACTTCCCGCCTTTTCTGCTTATGTGGTACTGAGGAATCAAACCCAGGGCCTCATGCATGCAAGAAAAGCACTCTACCACTGAGCCAACTTCCCAGCCCCTTGTTTCTTTCTGTTGGAGCATCTCTTCCTGCTTTTTTTTTAATCCAAGACTGGGACTCAAACTCAGTGCCTGATGCTTTCACTCACTGACTAGTGCTCTACCAACTGAGCTAGGTTGCCAACCCCCTTTTCCTGACACTTAAATGGCAGACTCCAATTCACCCCTTTAAGTCTCAGCTATGACATTTTCTCACCAGGGAGGCTTTCTTTAGCCACCTCTTTTCATTTTGTTGTGTCTTATTTTTTTTGAGATGAGGCCTTGCCATATAGTGCAAGCTGGTCTCAAACTTATGATCTCCCCAAGTGCTAGGATTACAGGAATGCACCAGTATGCCCAGGTTCTTATCTATCTTAAACCTGTTACTAACATCTGTCATGCCAGGCACCAGTGGCTCATATCTATAATCCTAGCTACTGAAGAGGCTGAGATCTGAGGATCACAGTTCCAAAGCCTGCCCAGGCACAGACTTTTATCTCCAATTAACCACTCAAAAAACCAGAAGTAGAGCTATGGCTCAAGTGGTAGAGCACTAACCTTGAGCACTTGGAGGCTCAAGGACAGTGCCCAAGCCCCCTGAGTTCAAGCCTCACACCCCCCCAAAAAATCTGTCCTGTCAATTTCAATATATCACAATGTTCACCAGGCCCTAAAATTATCTGCTTTATTCATTTGCCTCTTTTTCTCATAATCAGTCTTGCCCTTTTAAATATAAATCTGAGAGCAGGAATAGATGTGTTTTGGTTGTTGTTTTGGTTTTTGTTTTTAGTGTGTGAATGAGCATTAGGTGCTAGGTATGCAAAAACTGAGTACAGATGGGAAACATCACTTCTCAGATGAAGCCACACACTGCCTCCTGGCATTTCTTTTACTCCACTAGGGTGTGTCCAAGTGGTGATGACACACAAACAAGAGGGAAGCCTGCTCTCCACTGATGACTTCAAAAAAATGTCAGAAAGAGTAAAATCTTGGGGCTGGGAAGGTGGCTCAGTGGTAGAGCGCTTGCCTTGCATGCATGAGGCCCTGGGTTTGGTTCCTCAGCATCACGTAAGAAAAAAGCCGGAAGTGGCGCTGTGGCTCAAGTGGTAGAGCACTAGCCTTGAGCTGAAGGACAGCGCCCAGGCCAGAGTTCAGACCCCACAACCGGATCAAAAAAAAGAAAGAGTAAAATCTTGCTGGCTCTAGCTTTCAGCTCCACTAATTTCCCAGATTTGGTTTCATTTCTCTCCCAAAGGATGTAATTCTGTACCCCTGAGCCCTCATGGGTGCACACTCAGGTGGCTCACATCCATGCCAGCCTTGCGTATCTGAGGACCTCACTTTAAAGCCAATTTCTGCAGGCAGAAAACATCATTCAGACAGATGGAGTAGAGGCTTCTCAGCCAAGCAAGCTGAACCCCAAGGCAGAGCGTACACAAGTGGGCTCTTCCTTACAATACCTCAGTGCAAAGTCTGCTTAAAGGGAAGTGCAACAAGGCACCAGAAGCCCTCTGAAAGGTGCAATTCAAAAGCTGACACTCTTTAAGTTTAATGCTGTCTGATTTACAAATCTTGATTGATTAGGTCACTTATCTTTTTACTAAGAATTCCTGAACTGGAGAAAGCGTGAGACAGAAGAAGGTAAATAATACCTGGTGGCCTCGTTTTGTTCGCTGCTTCCTGTGCCATACCAGGTCCACACAGCCATGTCCTAAAAGCAACTCTGAGAAATGTGGAGAGAAAGGGCACTTACGTGGCATGATCCCCTGGCTCACTAGTTCTTCCCGGGTCCGGCGCTGCTGGAGCTTTAACTGGAGCACTGCGGGGCAGCAGAATGAGAGAAGAGAAGAGAAGTCAGCTGAGTATTTCTCCTCAAAAGACACATTTTCAAATGTAGACAATGTCTGAAAACAGAGGGTGTAGCACGAATGAAAGATCCCTTGAACTGCAACTGTGTGTAATTGCAGAAGTTGCTTGATACAGCAGGGTTTCCGTGTTCTGCTGTGGGCGGCAAGAGGAAGTTGCGAAGGGTCCTGCAGGGCGATAACAATCCACAAACTACCAGAGTCTTGCCTCTTGCTCAAAACCTATAGCACTCAGTCTTTCTCCTAAAGCTGAAAAACATCAGTTCTAAACTTGAAGAAAATATGAGGAGCACCATGCAAAAGGAGCTTTTTCCAGATGCTGTACACTTTCTCTGTATATGTTTACACCACAAGTATGGTAAATGATGTACTTATTCACAAAGACCAGGAAGTACTGGTTATCTATACCATTTTTCTCTAAAAATTATTGCTATTTTCACTGTGCAGTACATTTCTCTACACTATGAGAAATTCTGCCGTTACTGTCACTCTCTTCTTTCTCTTCCTCTTCACTCGGGGCCTTTCTCTGTTGAGGTGAGACAACAAAGCTAGATGAGTCAATTGACATCCGGGCTAGTAGACTGAGGAGTGTTTCTTTCATTTCTACTCTGGCAATACTACTTAATGAAACAGGGATTTTTATTAAGTTAAAAGTCAATTAAAATCAATGGCTCCTAAAGGGTGTGACAACTTCATGCTATGCAGAATGACAATGGTGTAGCCAAAGTTCCGACTAAGTAAGAACAGGTCTAGGCAGAGTATAGAAGGATCCCACAGGCCAAGGGAAGGCCCCTGAAGGATAGGTTCTTCAGCTATAGGGTTCTAAAAGTACTGTGTGAGGAAACTTGCATCTGCTGAGAATCAGGGTTCCAGTACTGGCTTTTTATACACAATAGTTTTTAGCAAGGCATCCCAGAATGGGAGAAGAATGACCAGGTTTTTACCTTCATCTCAAACTCAGTAGGTCCAAAGTAGGACTTGTCTTTTCTTCTGAAAACCTACTCTGAGTCCCAAACATCTTATCTCTTAGTATCATTATCCTCCCAGTGTTGATGCTCAATGCTTAAGCCAACTTTAACTCTTCTGCATTCTCGTTCTCACATGCCTCCTATCTTACCTCTCCGTGCTTTACCCAGCTGCAGCATTAGCTGCATTAGCTCACTGGCTCATTCTCACCTAGGAAGCGTCTGTGCTACAGGCATACCAATCAAGTCTGTTCAGTTTCTCTTCCTCAAGTATTATAACTTTTTCTACTTCCTTTATGTACTTCACCTGAAAATGCCCAGCCTCTCCTCTAAACTTCCAATTCACTCCCCACATTCAGAACTACTATAGGCCTCCTGTGAGCTGCCTTTGTTACCTGTTATAAAAAGTACAATAATGTTTTGTCTTATATAGTTGTTACTCGCTAAAAATACCTTCCCTAGTAGTTTATAAACTCATTGAGGGTAGGAATATATTTTTTCTTTTTGGTGTTATTGGGGCTTGAACTCAGGGCCCCATGATTGCTAGAGAGGTACTCTTCTACCATTTGAGTCATGTCCCAAAACTTTTTGCTTTAGATTATTTTCAAATAGGAATTATGTTATTACCTGAGCCAGCATCAGGTGGTGATCTTCCTCCTTATGTCCTCTCATGTGCCTGGAACCACAGGCATGTACCCCCCACACCTCTTATTTGGTAAGATGTTGCTAATTTTTTACCTGGGTTGCCCTTAAAACAATCATCCAGTTCTCTGCCTCCCAAGTAGCAAGGATTAGAGGCATGAGCCACCACATCCAGCAAGAATGTATCTTATTAAAATTTGTGCACCACCCCCTCAAACTTCATACACAAGTAGGCACTCTACTATTAAGGCATACCTTCAGCCACTTTATTTTTTTCAGTCAGTCATGGGACCTGAACTCTGGGCCTGGGCACTATCCCTTAGCTCTTCAGCTCAAGACTAGCATTCTACCACTTGAACCACAGCACTTCTTCCGGCTTTTTTCTGCTTATGTGGTGCTGAGGAATCGAACCCAGGGCCTCATCCATGCAAGCACTCTACCACTAAGCCACCTTCCCAACCCACGTTCAGCCACTTTTAGCACTGGTTATTTTTGAGGTAGGGTCTTGCTTTATACCCAGGTGAGGTTCTTGCTTAATACCCAGACTGGCCTGAGCTGTGATCCTCCTACTTGTGCTCCCTGTCTGTGTCACACAGCATAGTTGTAGTATATGACAGGTGGAACTACTGAGTCCAGCCCAGCCATTGGTTGAGATGGAGTCTCATGGAGTCTCCTCTACTTCCCTGCCTGCTGGCCTTGAACTGCAATCTCTAGATCTCTGCTTCTCAGTTTATAGGCTTGGGCCACTGCACCAAGCTAATCATTGTTTCCTGAACTGAACTGGATTTCAAAATGATATACACAGTGTGAGAAACCTAACCAAGAGGATATTGTTTCACAAATCTGTGTTTAAAGCAAAATCTTGAAGAATTAAATAGATGAAAAGAACAGTCTGCTATATAGACACACTATCTATGTACTTGTGATTTGGGTGTTTAGTTTTGTTGTGCTGGGGATCAATCCTAAGGCACAAAGGTAAGAGCCTTATCACCGAACTACCTCAAGTCCTATTCTTTAGTGTTTTGAATCACATAATCTTTATAACATCCCTACTGGACAAGTATTGTTTATCCCAGAGAAGATTATGTAATTCCCCTAAGGTTATCTCACTAATAAGAGGTAGAACAGGATTTGAGCCCAAACATTCTGATTCCAGGACCTGAGCTCCTCGCCATGTGTCTCCAGGGTTTTCTGGAAGCCGGTTCTGCTAAGCCAACAGACCCAAAGCGGTTCTGCTAAGCCAACAGACCCAAAGCGTGTCTACTTAGGTTCATTCTCTGATGGGGCAAAGGGATTGAGAAAATGGAAGGTTCAGACCAGGATCAAAGGAGTTCATGGGATCAACTCAATAAAACAATGTGTGTATGTGTCTGTCTGTCTCTGGGTGTGTGTTTGTAGGCAATACACATACGTTCACCGTGCACTGTTCCTGGGGGTTGAACTCAAGACCTGGGCACAGTCCCTAAGGTTTTTTGCTCAAGGCTAGCATTCTACCACTTGAGCCACAGCTCTATTTCTAGCTTTTTGGCTGGTTAACTGGAGATAAGAGAATTCATACACTTCCTGCCCTGTATGGCTTTGAATCACGATCCTAAGATCTCAGCTCTCTTAAGTAACTATGATTATAGTCATGATCCACCAGCAACAGGCTCAACAAAACATATTTAATCCAAGAACTTAATTTCACAATAATTATAGCCTTAGGTCAGCAACAATGATAATAAACAAATAATAACAGGAGTCATTGAGTATGTTATTATATATCTGGCTCTGTGCTATATGACTGATATGCTTTCAGTTTAGGAAAAAAGGGGGAGGGAGCTGGTGATAATGGAAGAGTGGTATTGCCTAGCAAGTAGTATGCCCTGGGTTTAATTACTTGAAATAGAATTAAAACAAAACCTGTGAGGATGGTATGCTTATTATCACTATTTTACAGATGAGGAAACTAAAGAGCAGACCTTTAGATTATTGCCTGTGGGAACTAGATAGGACTTGCCTGGGTCTCTGACTCTCTTACTAGTATAAAATATACATCTGCAGAAAAGAAAAGAGAAAGCTAAGCAGGATCAAGTAGAAGATGAATAAAAGACCCACTGTCTATCACCTTCATAAAAAAGTTTTTTGGGTGTTAGTATTGGGGCTTGAGTGCAGAATCAAGACACTCTCCCTTAGCTTTTCACTCAAAGATGGTACTCTACCACTTGAGTTACAGCCCTATGTCTGGTTTTGGGTTTTTTAATTGGAGATAAGACTCATGGACTTTCCTGTCTGGCTTCAAACTATGATTCTCAGATTTTTTTTTTTTTTTTTTGGGGGGGGGGGGTCCGGTCGTGGGGCCTGAACTCTGGGCCTGGGCACTGTCCCTCAGCTCTTCAGCTCAAGGCTAGTGCTCTACCACTTGAGCCACAGCGCCACTTCCGGCTTTTTTCTTATGTGGTGCTGAGGAATTGAACCCAGGGCCTCAGGCATGCAAGGCAAGCGCTCTACCACTGAGCCACCTTCTCAGCCCTGATTCTCAGATCTTAACTTGAGTAACTAGAATTACGGATATGAGCCACTGGAATCTGGGTGAATTTATAGTTTTTTGAAGGTCTGATATTAGGTAAGTTATTAAAAATGACTAGATATAACAAATTAATTTGATTTCAGAAACAAGGCGATACAATTTAATAAAACTAAACATTTCAAGGAAATAATTACTAAGTAATGGCTATTATTCAAAATAACTTTGAAATATCACTCAGTAGTCTTTGTAAGTAAACCATATGCAGAAAAAATTATCAAGAAATTATGAAAATTTTGGATTTTTTTTGACTCCAGAACTTTAAAAGCTATATAAGGCCAGATTATGAGGTTGTTGAAAACCTGGGTAATCTATCAATTATATGCAATAGAAAAGAGATTAATGTAAGAAAGACAGAAGAAATAAATAGTTTTCATTTGATACAACCATTCAGTAGTAATGGAACCATTCAGTTAGCCAAAGTAACTATTCAGATTTCTTGCTATACATGAGTAATGTTATTATGTTGTTTTTTTGTTTTTTGTTTTTTTGGGGGGGGGGAGGATCCGGTCGTGGGGCCTGAACTCTGGGCCTGGGCACTGTCCCTCAGCTCTTCAGCTCAAGGCTGGCACGCTACCACTTGAGCCATAGTACCACTTCTGGCTTTTTTTTTCTGCTTATGTGGTGCTGAGGAATCGATCCCAGGGCCTCATGCATGCAAGGCAAGCACTCTACCACTGAGCCACCTTCCCAGCCCCAGTAATGTTATTATGATTTCTAGATTTGTCTTAATATTTGTGCTTACTACAAAGTAAAAGTGTATTAAAATTTTAAACTAATT